AAGGTTCTTCAAAAGAAATTTAGGGAGCTAGGTAGAAAGTTGAAGAGCAGTACCTTAACCTTTTCTTACTTTAAAGGCAAGTGTAAAGCACTGTTCCAGATGCAATGTGACTGGTCAAACTAATAAATGTTAAGCAAAACACAATTTATCCAAACACACAACAAAAGAAAGAACAACTTAGAATAATTTAACTCTATTGGAAAACTCACCAGAATAATAGATACAGTAACTATTACTAATTAACTGTTCCAATACAGTAATATCCCATAAACACACCCTTTGGCAAACAGGGAAATGCAGAAAACAGATTTACATGTAATCGGCATATAGTCCAGCAGCCTGGGAAGAGAACCCCCAACTTTTGGCTGTAATCAAGAGAAGGAAAAACAGCTGCCATTTCTTCCAGCCCACAACAGCAACTGCTGAAAGCTAACTAACAAACCTGAGAGAGCTTGACCACACCCACTCGGGCTGCTTCTGTAGTTCCAACCTTTTTTTAAAAAAAAATTCCAAGGCCTTACAAGCTGTTTTTACCACAGACTGCTCATTGCCTCTTGTTCAATCTCTCTCTTTTAAGAGACCAGGTCAAAATACACCTCTTAATGCCATATCATTATCACAGAGGTTTTTGAGGAAGTGACAAAGATGATTGAGGGTATGGCAGTGGATGTTTTTCTATGGACTTTACTAAAGCATTTGACAAGGTTCGTCGTGGTAGGCTGATCCAGAAGCTCAAGTCACGTGGGATCCAAACCCAGTTGGTAAATTGGATACAAAATTTGCTTGGTCATTGAAGATGCATGTTTTTCTGATGAGGTCTGTAACCATTGGTGTTCTACAAGGATCAGTGCTGGGATCTCTTCATATAGGTGGTCCGATTAGTAAGTTTGAAGATGACGACATGAAAATTGGAGTGAATAGTGAAGAAGGTTATCAGAGGAAACAGCAGGATATATATCGGTGAGAAAGTTGGGTGGAGAAATGGCAGATGGAGTTTTAATCTGACAAGTGTGAGGTGATGCATTTTGGGAGGTCAAATGCAAGAGGAAATTATGCAGCTAAAGGTCCTACCATTAGGAGCATTGATATATAGAGGGATCTTGGGGTGCAAGTCCGCAGCCCCTGAAAGTGGCTGCATAAGTAGTTAACATGGTAAAGAAGGCATTCAGCATGCTTGCCTTCATCGGTTGGGACATTGAGTTTTAAATTTAGCAAATCATGGGGCAGCTGTATAAGACCTCAGGCCACTTTTGGAGTAATGCGTGTACTCCTAGTTGCCACACTATAGGGAGGATGTGGAGGCTTTGGAGATGGTGCAAAAGAGGTCGGGCAGGAAATTGGCTGGATGGAGTGCATTAGCTACAAGGAGAGGTTGAGCAAACTTGGATTGTTTTTGCTTGAGAGGCAACCTGATAGAAATATATTACATTATGAGAGGCATGGATGGGGTGGAAATGTCAAATACCAAGGGCGATAGGCTTAAGATGAAAGTTGAAAGGAGGTATGGCGAGGCAAGCTTTTTTGACAAATGGTGTTAAGTGCCTGCAGTGTACTACCAGGGGAGGTGTTAGAAGCAGGTAGGATAGCAATATTTAAGAGGCATTTAGGCAGATACGTAGGCAGACAGGGAATAGAGGGATATGGACCAGCTGCAGGCAGATGGGTTTAGTTTAGAATGGCATCATGGTTGTCACAGACATCGTGGGCTGAAGGCCCTGTTCCTGTGCTGTGCTGTTCTATAGACCATAATTTATAGAATTCACAATAAAATTTAACTTGCCTCTATATAGCATGATCCACTCAATACAGCTGTAATAGTCTTACAAAATATCTGCCTGTCAAATACACAGCCAGAGGGCAAAAATACTTCCAATTGGAAATTAGTTAAAGGAAGTAAGTTAAATTTTACTCTTTACACCAAATTCCATGCGGAGTTAACATGTTTTGAATACTCTTGATTCACAATGTACAATCTTTGGAAGACACACAGCTTGAGGAGTTCTGTGTTCCTAACTTGGTGTAAGAAGTTGGTAATATCTGATATATCACTACGTTAAAAATTTAACAGTCTAGTTTGTGATTTCTGCCCACTCCATCTTTATAAATGTACTTCTTTGTAAATACATTGTATTCAAAATTGTACAATGCAATTAGCTTATAGTCACACTAAGGATAGTATAAAATGCTTTATTACATTAAAAGTATTATATAAATTTGTACTAATTTCACTAATTGCAATGCAGTTGTTCTCCAATGTAATTTGATTTCTGCAAATTTGCACAGAAATGTTCAAAATGCTTTTCCAAAAAAATCTGTATATTTACCTTTCCCTTAGCTTGGCAAAATGAGGATTTCAACATCTTAGAAGTTTGAAATACAATACAGTTGCATGATTAAAATTACCTAATGAAATATTCTTGTGTATGAGTAACTTTACCATTTTTACACAAAGACCCTAGCCCCTCAAACGAGGTATTGAAGTTGATATGGTCATAGAGTCATAGAGATGTACAGCACAGAAACAGACTCTTCGGTCCAACTCGTCCATCCGATCAGATATCCTTATAAATCTAGTCCTGTTTACCAGCATTTGGCCCACGTCCTTCTAAACCCTTCCTATTCATATACCCATCCAGATGCCTTTTAAATGTTGTAATCATACCAGCCTCCACCACTTCCTCTGGCAGCTCATTCCATATACACACCACCCTCTGCATGAAAAAGTTGCCCCTTAAGTCCGTTTTATATCTTTCCTCTCTTACCTTTAACCTATGCCCTCTAGTTTTGGACCCCCTCACCCCAGGGAAAAGACCTTGCCTATTTACCCTATCTGTGCCCCTCATGATTTTATAAATCTCTATAAGGTCACCCCTCAGCCTCTGAAGCTTCAGGGAAAATAGCCTAGCCTATTCAACTTCTCCCTATGTCACACACAGTCCAACACTGGCAACATCCTCGTAAATCTTTTATGAACCCTTTCTAATTTCTCAACATCCTTCCTATAGCAGGGAGACCAGAATTGCATTCAATACTCCAAAAATGGCCAAACCAATGACCTGTACAGCTGCAACGTGACCTCCCAACTCTTACACTCAATGCACTGACCAATAAAGGCAAGCATACCAAACGCTGCCTTCACTATCCTATCTGCCTGCGATTCCACTTTCAAGGAACTATGCACCTGCACTCCAAGGTCTGTTGTTCAGCAACACTCCCCAGGACCTTACTGTTAAGTGTTGATATTTGAACCCATAACTATATGGCTTCAGGGAGATGGCATAGTATTGGCATATGTAGGATTTTCCGTCATGAGTTAGTCATGATCATATCTGAACAGCTACAGGAATAACTTTTCAGGGGACGTTTGATCATTTGATTACATTTTACCAAAGAGGGACAGCACATATTGGAGACCTTTTCACTTACACCAGCCAGAGAGAACTTCAAAACATTACTTGACTGTTTCTAAAGATGAGTACAAGCTGCATCAAGGATCTTTGAAATATTTGAAAATAAAACTTTGTTTGGATGACAGTAACGTGTCACACTGGAGTAGGCTTTTAAATGTAAGGGTGGGATTTAGGGAACCTGACACTAACAGTGCTGTACCTGACTTGGAAGCACTTAAGGTGGACACTAGGGTGCTAGAAGTTGAAATGGTTCTCTTACGCCAGGGCAGATATCCGTCATTTAATGAGCACACTGAACTGAAAGTGAATTATAAATATGTGCAGTGAGATCTTCACTTGTTGCAGATGATACTGATGGAAAAGATTGGTTGCAATTTGTTTAGTAGGTTCTGCACTAAAATGGGGTTTAGATTTTTTTGACTTTGCTTAAGATTCTAGTTTATGTATTATCCTTGCAGCCTATTAATTGCACAAGGAATGAAAGTTATGAATTAATTCTTTTGCAACACTCAATGTGATAATTTAGGCATCAAATCATTTGAAACTCTAAACGTCACAAAAGTTGAACCATCTGTTTGGAGGTTTAAGAGGAAGGTTAAAGTATGAGATTGCAGTTTAGGAGGCTTTGCAGTGTATCGTTTCCTCATTGAGGAAGCTTACTTAGTACTTTCTCACCTTTGGCCACTTTAAAGTGAGATTATTATAAGATGTTTGTAGCTTTTGTTAGGGATAAAAGTGACTTCTGTTGAAGTCTGGAATTTGCTCACTTGGTTTTAAACCTTTTGAACAAAACAGGAAAGTAAATTTGTGGTGGGCCTGTTGCAATAGCGTATACCACCAATAACCAGACTCGTCATGAATTGCAGGTAGTTGTTGAGGATTGTGGTTTTTGATCTAGGCTGTAACTGCCGTGATTCAGATTATGGATATCTGTTTCCCATCTGGTGTGCAAGTCTCTAGTTAGTGGGTGCTGAATGTTAGGAGTTGTATTTGCTATCACTTGGGCATCACATGGTGAGCTGTCAGCACAGAAGTGAATTCTCAAGGCTTCAATTATAGGCCACTGAACAAGGAATTTGATGTCATTCAGAATGTCGCCCAAGTGATTCTGCTGTTTGTGAGGTGCGACTGGATTAGACACCAGTCCCCTACTACTGTTGGAAAAGCAACAAATATCTTAAAGATATTCAAATGGGCAGGCCAGGAGATAAAATCTGTTTTTGATCTAACTTTATTGCTATAATTTTCTTGGTGGAATTGTGTATTTTTGCTTTTGTAAATTGCCAGTTAGAAAAGGAGAAGCAGCAAAAAAAAACCAATTGGTAGTAATCGGTAGTCACAACATTTACTGCGGGTGGAAAACTCCATGGTGTAGTTTTTGTCTTCTAATTTATGAAGTTATTAATAGTGAATGATAATTACTGTTTTTGCAGCTGTATATCCCTGATGCTGTTTCAAGAAAGTAATCATGATATGGGAAGCCTAGTTTGAACACTGAATCAGAGGGAAGTAAGCAATGCAGGTAATGTAGCAGTTGATATAAAATTACTTGAGAAGCAAGAAAGGATTTACATGGCTCATTTCACAACATTAGATTGACTCAAAGCGCTTGTCACCAATGATGTACCTTTGTAAAGTGAAGTGCAAAGTTATATAATCACTATTGTAAATTTTTTTATGTTCGCTCATTGGACATGAGCATCACTGGCTGGCCAGCATTTATTGCCTGTCCCTAGTTGCCCTTGAGAAGGTGGTGGTGAGCTGCCACCTTGATTGTATATGTTGTAGGTAGACCAAAAATGCCGTTTGGGAGGGAATTCCAAGATTTTGACCTAGCAACACTAAAGAAACATTTCCAAGACAGAATGGTGAGTGGCTCGGAGGGGAACTTGCAGGTGGTGGTGTTCCCATGTCCTTCTGGATGGAAGTGGTCATGGGTTTGGAAGGTACTGTTAAAGGACCTTTGGTGAATTTCTGCAGTGCATCTTGTAGATAGTACACACTGCTGTGACTAAGCGGTGATGATGGGGTGCATGAATATTTGTAGATGTGGTCCCAATCAG